GAGAACAGTCTGGTTCCATTCCCTTTCGAACCTCCCTTCAGGTAGTTGAAGGCTGCTATTAAGTCCCCACTCAGTCTCCTCTTCTGGAGTCCCCCGTGGTTCATCCTTGTCTGCCACACAAAAGCTTTCAACTCCCAGATGCTAATACAAATACAGCCAGGGAGGCACCAGACATCTTGGTGGCCTAAAGGGGATGGAAGGTCTGGGCAGCCTCCACTCCTCCAAAAAACTCCTGCCTAGGCACATGCATCGAAGGCCTGGGTGACCTCCCATGCATACACCGTGATCTGGAAAGATCAATGGTTGCCAAACAGTCTCCTCTTCTCTAGGCTAAGTAAGTCCTGTTTCCTCAGTCTTTCCTTACAGGGCATGTCTCCCAGCCCCTCACCATTTTTGTTGTCTACTGCTGGACTCTCTCCAATTTTTCCATATCCAAAGGCCCAAAACTGAAAACAGTACTCCAGATGTGACCTCACCAGTGCTGAATAGAGGGGAGGAATCACTTTCCTTGGCCTGCTGACAACACACGCACCAATGCAGCCCAGGATGCCATTACCTTTCTTGGCAGCAAGGGCACACCGCTGGCTCGTTTTCAGCTGATTGTCCACTGTAACCCCCAGGCCCTTTCATGCAGAGCTGCTGCCCTGCCGGACACCCCCTGCTAAGCCAAGCTGGTCTTCTGCCATGCTTGTTAATCTTCCTGCACATCAGGATGGTTTGTTCCTGCACTCTCGGTAAGGCTTCTGTCAAGTACTCCAGAGAGAAGCAAGAACCAGAGCTTTACCCAGGGAAACGAGGGCTTGGAAATTCTTCAGCATCTGGTCCCGGTAAAGCACCTTGTCGTCATCGTCCAGCAGCTCCCACTCCCTCCGTGTGAAATACACGGCCACGTCCTCAAACACCTCCTGGAGCTGCAGGCACAAGTGTTACACCATCAGTGTCTCCTCTTCTACCTGCTTCCAGCCCCCACAGCCCTGACTGGGATCACTCTGTACTGTAACTAGTGGCAGGCTTGGCCCCGACAGGCAGGGATGCAAAATTCCCCATTAGTCAGCTGACCCGTGACATGGATGCAGCTATGGACACAGGAGCTCAGGTGTTGGCTTTAGCCCAGCTCAGCACCTTGTGTTTGCTCGGCCCCTGGAGGCAGCCTGGGCACCACTTCTAGTGTCAGGCAGCCCCGGCTTCACACACTCTGACCAGGCCTTCCCGTGCCAGCGCCCCTGGCTCCCTGCACTTGGGAGGGCGCTCCTGCTAATGCAGCTTGGTGTGTTTGCAGCCTCCATCACCACAGGCTTTGCG